CTTTTTTACGCAACTAGACATTATGAAAAAAAGGGAAAAAGAAGACAAACTTCATAATAGAGGAACATCACCATACGGACAATCCAAGCAAAGCATAAACACGACAGGTCATAAATGCTACACACCTAGTACATGATGATCGAATTGTGCCTCACATGCTTTGGTTCCATTTGATGTTACACCGTCGGCTTATTTCTGTGCCCTCATCTTCGTAACATTTTAAAGCATTTCCAAAGAGAATTTGGATTTAACCATTAGTGGCTTTCCGACTTTTCGCAAGAAGGTTTAGAATTGAAACGTATTCAACATTCTACACTTCACGTGATGAGGCTATCGCTTGGTGCCATGGAAATGTTAAATGTTGAATACCTGTACAACGAGCGAGCCTGTTTGTGACAGAGATGAGAATAATGAAAAAGACATGCCTTTGCCACAGTTCGTTACAATAGAATGCGACGACTGGCGATTTGAACATTTTGTAAATGTGCCATTTTTTTCAGGGCTTGATTTTGAGGGCATGTTACCACCATGTTTTTCTCCTGCGGCTGTTTAATCATCATCGCGGCTACGATTCTACCAGGCTCACAGTAAATATATCTTCCTCTGTAGTTATCTTTGAAAACGCCTAATGTGAGCGAACCCTTTTTGTAAAAATTGAAATCCATGTCTATCCATTAGGTTGATTTGGCTTTCCCGAGGGTTAAGGCTTCATTTTGAGACTCTTTACAAGCTTTTTCGAGGATGTTAAATAAAACAAGCAAAATAATCGCTTTTCATCGTTTTTCAAAACTAATGTTGGCTCTTTGAGGGATCCCAGATTTGCTAACCGAATCTGCATGGCGCGCGGTTTTCTGCAGTGGGCACGCGCATTTATTCATGGTATTTTAGCTTGCGGGTACACCATTGGAATAACTCTCTTTTAGAACAGGTGTGGTTCTTAAAAGAACCGGTGAGTGTTAACTCAACTTTATAACCCAGCTGTCCACTCGAGTCCGGCACTCTCCTGAGTACGGCCAGAGCATCGTGGCCGAAACGTCGAGTTTGATCACCCCTTCTAAAAGAGATTTATTTCCATGGGGTACCTGCAAACTTATATCTCATGAAATTTCCACCATGCAAAGGTTCCAATCTTACTTAGCTCTATGAGCCTGCTGGGTTTTACAAGACTGGCTTTCTGGCAGTTCGTCCCTTGTGAATAGGCCTATAGCGCATAGTACTGATACTGCTATTTGGCTGTGTTCACCCATGTCGACTGCACAAAACAGTAAAACCAGTCTCGGGGCAAGACTAGCTCTTGCACATTTTGGTACAAATTGTTCAGCAGTGCTTGTGTTTTTAATTGTTTACCCACGACTTTCTGGGGGAGCCAATCACCAGCTTCATTCGAAAAATAGTCTTTCTCACGGTTCAGAAGATACAGGGGTGGCTGGTTTGATTAGGGGTTAAATGGACCATTTCTCCAATAAATTCATATTTATTCAAAACTAGTACTCAAGTGCCCTCTTGCAACAGGTTTGAAAATAGTAAAAACACATTTACCGTTGATGTCTGTGGTGGAGCCTTTTTGCTGTAATTGCTAAACAATGCTCAATATGATGACCTTCACGCAAACAACGCCTGTGTGCAGTTTGAAACTGATGACACCTTCGGATCGGAAGGATCGGAAGTTGCAATAAAACACTATTAGCTAGGCCCACGGTTACAAGAATCAAGAAAAAAGTCCCGAGAGATCTTGAATCGTCTTTCAAATCATAGAAAAAGTACTGGGGGTGGACCAAAGCGTGGATAAAGAAAAGCCATTGGGAGAAATACAGTGAAATTGATGTATCCTTTTGTTGGATTTCAATTTTGTTTGAGAATAAAAATGATGGTTTTCACTGAAAATGGGAGAAATAATTCAAAGCAGGAGATTAAAACCAAATTTTATGAACCCTACACCTTCAGCGGAATAATTTTTTTTCAAACATTGGACTAATGCCACTCCTACTAGAGTTGTGAATCGAGAAGTAAATTAAGCAGCTTCAACTACTTTGCATTCCACAGCATGCTGACCCCAGTAAAAGACTTTTGATGACCTATTTTGGTTGTGTAACATTTGGATGAGTTAAGAAGTTATGATGACGTTTCCAAAACCAACCATTTCTATTACACATAATGGGCAACTTGGGATTCACATTAGAATTGGCCTGTAGGTGCATACACGTGGGCATGTATTTGAAATGAGGTAAGGTTGGAGTATCACCTGCTTTAGGCCAAAAAATCTCCGATTTCTGGTCAGGAACTGGCTCAAAAAATGGCGCGGAGACGCGGTTTTTTTTACCCTTACTTTTTTTCTGGAATTATGCCCGTAGGCCTATGCGTATAACGTGTAATGTCCATCGCAACTACACGCGCACGTAACGCCGGCCGCTACCAAAGAATAAACGGCTAGGCCTATATCTGAAGTGCGTGAAATACACGCGTTTGCCTGGGCGCAGCCGTTGGTCACGTGAACAGGGTTGAAATATGAACGTGCAGAATACTACTTAGGTAACGAAGTAGTCTTGGGCCTAGGGGTGCAGACCACTAATTCAAGTGAGAATTTCTGACCAGCTCATTAGCATTAAAAGTGCCCCCACCCACAGTATCTTTTGAAAAAGGAGACTGTTTGGCCACCAAAATGGTGAGATTGTGTAAATCGTTGCCAGGATCAACTCCCTGGGTCTTTGAGCTTTCATATGAGGGCAGAAGGGCTGAAAACTACGGCTGAAAAA